TAATAAAAAGTATGTTTCATGTGGCTTTCACACCACACTCTATTCATGCTTCTTGGCACTACTAACTTAGGGGAGAGAGAGGATCCTCCTTTAAGGTACATCAGGTGAAAGGGTTCTCAAAAAGGCCAGCCTGAGTGGCTATCCATAATTGGTAAGGAAACAGAGCCCTGAGAAGAGCCAGATCAAGGCCATGTCCAATTTGGAGCCCAACTCCCTTCTCTTCCAAAAAAACTCCACCTCCTATTTTTTTAGGCATTCAGTAAGCAATTTTAAAATGATAAAAATGATCATGAGTTTATCTTGAATTGGCTTTGCTCCGTGTAGTTTTAAAGTATCTGATAACATCAATGTCTCTGTGGTTCTTTTCACTATTGCTTTATGAAGATGCTCAGGCTATATTATTTAGGAACATACAAGTTTAGAATCATGTTATCTTTCCGGTGAACTGGAATTTTTACCATTCTCTAGTGACTTTATCTCTAGCAGTGTTTTTGCCTTAAAGACCATTTTGTCTTTATTTAAATACAACAGCTTTCTCTTGGCTACTATTTACCTGGTATCTTTTTCTGTATTTTTCACTTGTGTCCTTCTCTTTTTAGATGTGACCCTTGTAGCCTATAGCTGCTGCTTAAAAAAAAAAAAAATCCCATTTCAGAACCTTCAAAAAGTTGAGCCCATTTTCATTTATTTCTATTATGTAGTTTCTACTTATCTGGGTTTCTTGTTTCCTCACTCTATCATTTTCTTCTAGTTCGAAAGTTCTCTTTCCCTGCCATTTCCTCTCTCCCTTCCTCTCTTTAGTGGCTACCCTACTTATTTTAACATGTACTGTATACTTACGTCAATATGTCTGCCATCTTCCTGAAATGTTTGCTTTTCAAAACTTCAGCTCTTTAAACTGCACAAGGTAGACATTATCGTTTTATAGTCACTATTCCTTTAATCAAAACATTGATATAAAAAAATGTTGCGGGGGGGGGCGGTCAAGTGGCGTGTTGGTTAAGAGTTGGCTTGGGATGCCAGCTCTGAGCAGCAGGGCCCCAGTTCGGATCCCACAGTAAGGCCAGTGACACTGCGCCCTCTACAGCTAAGATGGTGAACAACAGCTCGATCTGAAGCTGGGCTGCTGTGAGTCGCCAGCGACAGCGTAGGCTGCAGTGGGCTGCTGTAAAAAGCTACCATGAGGGCCGGCCAAGTGGCGCGATGGTTAAGAACTGGCTTGGGATGCCAGAGGGCCCCGGTTCGGATCCCACATATGAGAGCCAGTGACACTGCCCTCCACAGCTAAGATGCTGAACAACAGCTCAACCTGGAGCTGGGCTGCCGTGAGTTGCCGGCGACGGCGTAGGCTGCAGCCCCTGTGGCAGTGGGTTGCCATGGGCTACCGTATGTAGCCAGCAGCCAGCGTGCGCGGTCATCCAGAAGCCGGCGACTGATCTGCCTCACCCGGGAAGAGCGCAATGATGGTGCCAACTTGGGCCAGTGAAGCAACGTCCTCCACAACTAGACTGAAGAACAAAACGACAGCAACTTGTCTGTTCCCCTTCCCCCAATTCCCCAGCACTGTTCCTATCCCCCCAATTCCCCAATAAAAATCTTTAAAAAAAAAAAAAAGCTACCATGAGTGGCTGGCAGCCGGTGTGAGCGGCCGGAAGCCAGTGAGCTGCCAAGAGCCTCCATGAGCAGCCATCCAGGGACTGGCGACAGATCTGCCTCTTCCAGGAAGAGCGCAATGACAATACCAACATGGGCCAGTGAAGTGACATCCTCCACAACTAGACTGAAGAACAAAAGGACAACTTGTCTGGTCCCTTCTCCCAATTAAAAAAAAAAATCTTAAAAAATTCTTTTGCATAAATATTTAACCCTTGGTATATCTGTCTGGTCACCAGTATTTTGTTTTACTTATCAACCTATTTTCTACAAGATGCCTGATGTAGCAGGAATTCCCTGGCTCCATGTGCTAATTAATGCTACCCAGCTAATAGACACCCTAAAGATCCCTTTTCCAATCATCTGCATTTTATCATTTTTGTAGGATGATTTCATTATATAGAACTTCCATTCAATAACAGACTCTCAAAATTCCCTTTTATGTGACAGGTTATCTGAATAAGTCTCTCATCTAATATTCCTCTTAGGGTAGAAAAATAATCACAGGAGAAAAGCCACCATTATGTTCCAGGTCAATCCCACAAACCCCCCAGGGCATACAGTTCAAATTGAACACTTTTTAGGGATGTCTGAAATGAGGGTTGCCTAATGAGGAAAAAACTTTTCCTAAAAAATTTCAGAGCCTTAATCAAGGTACATTTTATTGGGGACCTATGAGCATGCTTCAACTCTTAACACACTTCCTTTTATCTTCTTAAATTTTGCACACTCCCTTTAATTCTAACCAAACTTCAACTGATACTTCACTGAGAAAATACAATTAACTAGATAGGAACTCCTTTAATTCCCACACCACTAAATTCTCAGATCTACCTGTATCGACAACTCTATTTCTTCCCTCCTATTCAGAGAAAGTAACCCAGTTCCAATCAACCACTAACTGGATATCTATACAACAGCTTTTATTCTTGGCTTCTCAAATACTTTTGTCCTGAAGTCATCTTATTAGGTTATTACTATTAGTTTTCTATAGAGTCCATCTTTAATAAACGAAAAGCAAAAAAGCCCCAAAATCCCTTCCTTAATCTCACATCTGCCTCAAACTCATTTGCTTTTATATTCATTATATATCTAGTATCTGCCATGTAATGGTTGTAGGCAAATATTTGTCAAAAAGTTTGCAATAGCCTTCTCTCCCATCTACTACGTTTATTATGACTTTCATAATTTGCTTTATAGTCTTAGCTCTAAGTAGATGTAAAACACTAAGCTTGTCACTTACCTCATTTTTTCTAGATATAAAATGGAAAAATAATATCCATACTGTCTACTACCCAGTAGTAGAGCTGTTCTTAAAATGGTTTAGATCATCAGTTCTCAAAGTGTGGTCCTGTCATAGCAGCATCAGCATCACTTGGGAGCCTATTAGAAACAAATTTTCAGTCCCCAACTCAGATTTACTGAATCAGGAACTCTGGAGGCTGGGTTCAGCAACAAGCCCTCCAGGTGATTCTTTTTTTTTCTAGCTGAGCCATCCTGCCACCTTTTGGCAGCTCAGCAGCAGCTCAGAGCTCGCACTCTTGAGCAAGCTCTTAACCAACTGAGCCACTCGGCCAGCCCTAGGTGATTTTAATGAACACTGAAGTTTAAGAATTACTGATTTTGATGAAAAAACTGGGGGAAAAAGAGCTAAACAAATACCAGGTTTTTATTACATTGTATGAAAAATCACATTATTCACCAGTGGTAAATAGTAAAATTACAAAGCCAGGTTTTTCAAAAAATAAGCTTGCGTTGCTTCATACTATTTTAAACACAAAACACCTTAAATGTGAAATACATCTGTAGTCAAGCAAGGAAAGCAGATAGTATTGCTTAAATAACAAACTAAGGAATACCTGAAACAATAGCTGTATCAAGGTTATGACTTGCATTAGGACATTTTATAGATTTTGCTGGCTTGGGGAGGCTGTTTTGTGGTCCCTCACATGGTTTGGGTACAATATATAACAGTAGCTAGTACTGTTATCCAGGCAATATGGGATTAATCAAGATTTATCTTAAAATCTTGATTGACAGTTCAGGTGTCCAACATCCAAGTCACTTATATCTATATTCTATCAATTATGATAGAGTAAGATAGAGGTACTTAGGGGGTTCAGATCATCTGCCTCCTGACATGCTGAGTAAAACGATTCTGAATTTCAGATTCAACTTTTCCTCTACAGACCAACACAACCGGGTGGGGGAGGGGAAGTCCTAAGCCACAGTCAATAAACATATGTTAAGGTATTCCCTGATTGTCTTTGGGCCGTGCTTTGGGCTGACTCCAAAACTGCACAAACACAGGAGCAGAGTTGAGAAGAGCTAAGTAAAGAATAAGAGATTAAGGAGAAAAAAGTAGTTTAGGAAAATATATCTTTTGACTAAAATCTTTATACAGAATATTTTTCCTACTGCAAGTGATAGATAAATGGAGGCAATTTAAAAATGGTATACAAATATCTGGTGCAATTCTTAGATTTAGTATTTAACATCCTTTGTAAAAAGGGGGTGGAGAACTCCATATTAGAAAGGGCTAAGTTTCATTTAGATACCTAAGTATATAATTCATGGTCATTCCTCCAAAACGGTTAATGAAAGATGCACAGTAATGATGCAGCATTTAATGACTTTAAGTGCTTTTTTGAAAGCAGTTTCTGAAATCTCAAAATGCTGTATTGCTGATGTTCACCATTATACAAGAAAACCTTTAACAACATTATCTATATCAAGTTACACTGAAAAAAGGGACCAAATAAAAAACATCTTCAGGAAGGACTGGTTTACACAATAGAATTCTGTTCAGGGTCTGGACCACTTTTCTCATACCCATCCCATCATCTCCACCTCTGTAAAAGAAACAATAACTTGGTGGGGGAAGTCCCTTCACAGCGTATACATGTATCAAATCATCACGTTGTACACTTTAAGTATCTTACAGTTTTATTTATTACACCTCAATAAAGCCAGGAAAAATAAAAAAAGGTGTTTGTCAAAGCACTGGGACAAATAGTGTGCAGGTTAAAACTGAGATACAAGTGTTAGAATTTAACTCAAATTGTGTAAGTTCCGGAAAGTTGAAAGGTTTTATTTTTTTAAATGAAACAATCAAAATCTTAATTTTTAATGCATATGCTGTTCCCATGGAAATTTACAGGACAGGAAATTTGACATTCCAGAAAGTTTACGTAAAAAGACAAATTATATGAAGTCTGTGCATGTATTCTTACTTAACGAAAAGTTCTTAAAATTTCCTAAGCTCAAATGATATGTTGCAAAATGTTACAAATGTGAAGACAGACCGTATAGTGTACACTACAACATGTAAAAATAAATTAAACAGATTTGGATTATGCCATTTTTAATTTTAATAAAATAGATAATTTCATACTACATAGAGAACAAGTTCATCCACTTATCATTGATTAAAATTTTAGAAATATTTTCTATAAAAAGTTTAGTATTTGATTGGGAATGAATCCATCTGAACATGATTTGTATAGGTACAGTGTTCCCATCCTCACCCCCATTCTTGAGAAAATTTAAAAAGACAGAAAAGTACAAAAAATATGACAAGATATCCATATACCACAATCCAGAACTATCCAGTATTTTTATATATATATATATATATTTACTTGCAGTCTCTTTTGTTTTTAAAGAAATGGACGCTTACATATAAAATGAAGTCTCCTTTAACCAATCCCCACTCCACCCCTCCCAAATTCATTCCCTTCCCTTGTTCACTCTTCACAGGCAACCACTATCAAGAGTTTGGTCTGTATCCTTCCAATCCATTTCAAAAACATTTTTAAAACATACATACATATGTATCTGTTACTAATATATAGTACTGCATTTTATGAGGGAAGTTTTAACTCAAATTTACAAAAATGTCATGGTATTACATGTCATTCTGCAACTTCATTTTCTCCCTCAACATTTATGAGATCTTTCTCTGTAATACAGATCTCATTTGTTACATTTTACACATATACAGTATCCCATCATAAGTATTTTCCATTTCATTGACGGGCATTTAAGTTGTTTCCAATTTATAGCTACTACAAATCATGTCACAGTAAATAGCCTAGTACATATTTCTTGAGCATAAAAACTCAGAATAGAATTGCTAGGTATTTCTGTTATAAGGAAGGTTTCCCTACTCCCAAGGTCATAACCATTTTACTATACAGCTTTTTCATATTCCTGTTTTTAATCCCCATGGATCTTACCTTTGTGTATAGTTCATGGTGTATTTTTTTCCTTGGAGAACAAATTACCTCCAAATCATTTTTTAAATAGTCCCATTATCTTCTTACCTCCTGATGCCATTTCTATCCTATTCTAAACTCGAATAAATGCATAGGTGATTCCAGAATCTCTTCAGCTCTGTTAAATCAATACCATAAGTCTTTTCCTTATTTTCTTATTACAACTTATTTTTCTTATTACATTGGTGAAGATCTCCAGATCTATGCAGACAGCAATAATAACAAGCATGTTTTCCATTCTAATGTGTCTAAAACGTGTCTAAAGTTTCAGCATTACCTTTGCTGTAGGTTTTTTTTGTTGGGCACAGGAATTTTTATATTACAAATGTCTTTCTCTTCAGCATTCTCTGGTAGCCCATAGGTCTTTAACTTTTGTTTCCCTCATTTGTGACATTTTACTTTAGAATGATTATTTCTGATGTGCTATGAGGTGTAAATTCCTGATGAATGCTTTCCAATTTTCAAAATATTCACAGAATTTTTAATGAGTATGAATCTTCTGGTGTCTAATATGGTGTGACTTCTGGCTGAAAGCTTTCCCACATTCACTACATTGATAAGGCTTCTTACCTGTGTGTATTCTCAAATGCAGAGCAAGGGTTGAAAACTGAGAGAAGGCTTTGCCACATTCATTACATCCATAGGGCTTCTCACCTGTATGGCTTCTCGCATGCACAGTAAGAGATGAACTCTGAGAGAAGGCTTTCCCACATACATTGCATTCATAAGGCTTATCACCTGAATGAATTCTCACATGTACAATAAGTGATGTTCGTTGAGAGAAAGCTTTTCCACATTCATTACATTCATAGGGTTTCTCTCCAGTGTGAATGTTTTGATGTTTTATGAGGTACTTCTTCTGGCCAAAAGCTGTTCCACATTCACTACATTTAAAGGGTTTTTCTCCAATATGAATTTTCTCATGCTCAGTAAGGTTTGATTTGCCACTGAAGGTCTTCCCACACTCCTTACATACAAAAGGCTTCTCTCCTGTGTGAGTTCTCTGGTGTCTGATGAGGTTTGACTTCTGAATGAAAGCTTTTCCACAATCTTTACACTCAAAAGGTTTCTCTCCAGTGTGAATTTTCTGATGAGTAAGGAGGTTTTCCTTCTGGCTGAAGGATTTTCCACATTCATTACATTCAAAAAGCTTCTCTCCAGTATGGGTGTTCTGATGTTTAATGACATATTGCTTTTGGCTGAAGGCTTTTCCACATTCATTACATTCAAAAGGTTTCTCTCTATTATGAAAATGCTCATGCTCAGTGAGGTTTGATTTGTGGCTGAAGGCTTTCCCACATACCTTACAAGCAAAGGGGTTTCCCCCACTACAAATTCTCTGCTGATTGAGGTGTGACATCTGAATGGAAGTTTTCCTACATTCACAAGGTTTCTCACCAGTATGAATTTCTTGGTGAATGAGAATTTACTTTTGGCTGAAGGTATTTCCACATTTCTTACATTTGTAGTACTTCTCTGTGTATGACCTTTCAAAAGTAACGGGATAAGGTTCAAGAGAAAACTTTATCATACTCAGTTCAAAGCTTTCTCTCAGAGTATAGGTTTTCTAATATTCAATGAAGTTTTGTTACATTCATTGGTTTCTCTCCAGTATGGATTTTCTTCTGCTCAATAAGATATGTCATCTAGCTGAAGGCTTTTCAATATTCCTTAGAACAAGGTTTCCCTCCAGCCTGATTTCTACATTTAATGAAGTGTGACACGTGAGTGAAAATTTTCTGTCAGTAAATTCATACGGTTTCTAACCCAGCATGAATGCTCTGATATCACATGGGGTTCAAATTTTTTTAACTGAAGGCATTTCTACACTGATTTACTCTTAAAAGAGGGTTATTACCGTAAGGAGTAAGCTGTGGCAGGATTTCCAAACTAATAAAATTGATGATTCTTTCCTACACAATGTCCCTCATGATTGATTAAGTCTAAACTGTGTTTTGACACTCTTTCTAGGTAGCTGGAAAAGGTGGTACCTTAAAAGATCTAAGGTCTGAGATCACAGGAAGTATCTTTCCAATTTTCTTATATTCACTGCTTTTTTTCTCAGTCTGTACTTTACTGGAGATGGATGCGTCTTGCTGCCTCTCTATTTGCTCATCATCTTCTCAGGCTTCTTCTAAAATGGAGTACAAAGAATCATCATTTAAAGAAGTTAATGTATGAAGTGCTTAGAACTGTGACTGACACATGGTAAGCACTCAATAAATGTTAGAGCTTAGTTATCATCATTATTTATAAATTTCCCATTATTAACAATAAAATCTCAGATTATGCTTTTTAAGATTAACTCAGCTAACCCATTTCCCAATATAAAAGAAGCTTTATGACCTACATCTCCAGCTAAATTTTGAGAAGGAAACCCTTGTGGAGGATATCTGGGTAGAAAATTAATATTCATGGATACACAAAGCTTAGATTACTCTTGAAAAATAACCTCTCTCATTTCATAATTCAGCAATTCAGTGTAACAAACAATGAGGAATTAATAGGATAAAAAGATGACCACATAAAATTGAGAAAGTCTACCTGTGATGCCTAAGAAAGGAAAAGGAATAACTAACAACTGCTTCCTCCCAAAATTCCATTAAATGACAAAAGGGAAAATGGCCCAAATTCACAAGAGGGAGATGATATGAGACATCAATATACAGACATTAACACATTTTTTGATAACATAAAGCACATGGAAGATTTCCAACATACAGAAGAGCTGAGGAAGTTCAAATAACATGAAGGTACTGCAGAAAAGGAAGCCAAGTCAAGCAAGCCAATTTGTACCACAAAATATAAAAAAGACTCAGAAAACGGAGGAAATCAAGTACCCCAAAACAAGGAATAAAGGATAGTAGCGGAAAAAAAGATTGTATAAGATGCAGTTGGACCTCTACTCTTCCAGTCTGGAGGACAAACGACCACTCCTTTATATAAAATGGAAGTTATTCTTTGCAGAAATTTGATCACAGAAGCTCCAGACTCAGGGGACACCCCACATATGAGATGACAAGGGAGAGGTGTTATACTGAAATCAATGTGATTAAATCTACATATATTGGGTTGTCGGAAAAGTCATGATGCATTTTTGCAACAAAACACATAGAAAAATACGTCATGACTTTTCCAACAACCCAATTAATATGGTGAGACCTTCAGCACCATTCTGCAGCTGAGGCAAAAAAAAAAAAAAAAAAAAAAAAAAAAAAAAAAAAAAAAAGATCTAGACAAACTGAAAGGCCCATGAAAAACCTGTAGAATGCACCTCCAAGACACTTACTGCTTGTACTCATTCCTTTTGACAAAACAAAGGACCTGGCCACACCTAAGTTTGTGAGAGCAAGGCAGTATAACCCTTCCTCAGGGAGGAGACCCTGGGTCCATGAGGCTTACTTTTCATCCACTGAAGTCTACCATATGGCTAGAAGCACCCAGGCACAGAAGAGCTTACCTTTTAGTGAATGATTCTTAAATATGACTGTGTAGCCAATATTCCACACACACTTGAAGTAAGCCCACTAACGTGAAAGATCAACATCAAGAGAAAAAAACAACTAAGGGAATAAAGGTAAGGCAAAGCAAAGAACAGAATCCTAAAACCAGTAACAGATGGTTATGAGAAAATATATTATCAGTGAAACAATAAGAAACAGAAAGAAAAAGTTCCCTTAGAAATTAAGACTGGGGTGAGGTAGGGGATGAGGTAGACTGTATTACCATTAACCAATAACAGGGTCTCCTTACTGCAGGATTATATTGTTTCACCCTGGGAAACTCAGGCATGGCCAAGTGCCTTGTTTGACCAATGAAATATAAGCACAAATATCATTTCCTGGTAGTAGCCTTAAAAAGACATATTCAGAGGATAAACCAAGGTAACACATGTAATAGCTGAGTAAAAAAAAGTTCCAGAAAAATAAAGAGAAAACTTATATTTAGAGGAAATATTCAAAAAACAACAGAAATTTCCTCTCTTCTATCATGAATCTCTAGACTTTTTAAAGGGGCCACTTGGTACCTTGCACAATGAATAATAAAAATATACCTAGACAATCACTGTAACATTTCAAAAGAGAAAATAGAGGTCATAAATGCTTTTAGAAAAAATAGTACATGTCAAAGAAAATAGGAATCAGAATGGCATCAAATTTCTCAACAGAAATGAGGCTAGAAGACAAAATTCTGAGGGAAACATTCTAAGCTTAGCCTATCAATCCAATGGGACAGCCAAATAAAGGCATTTTTCAGATACGCAAGTACCCCCAAAATGCACCTTTTTCCTCAGAATGCTACTAAAAGAGGTGCTCCACCAAAATTAGTAGTTAAAGAAGGCAACAAATACAGGATCCGTATAAGAGATGAACAGGAGAACAAAATGAAGAAAATTTCTATGATAATGGTGATGAAAAGCTACAAAATAAGAGCTATCAGGTCAGGATACCACCAGTCCAGATTGAAGTATGAGAACAAAAAATTCTAGAAATAAGGCCGGCTGAGTAGCGCGTTGGTTAAGAGCTGGCTTGGGACACCAGAGGGCCCTGGTTTGGACCCCACATATGAGGGCCAGTGACACTGCCCTCTACAGCTAAGATGCTGAACAACAGCTCAGCCTGGAGCTGGACTGCTGTGAGTCGCTGGCGATGGCAGTGGGTTGCCATGGGCTACCGTATGTAGCCAGCAGCCAGCGTGAGTGGCCAGCAACCGCGGTGACCGGCCGTCCAGAAGCCAGTGACTGATCTGCCTCGCCTGGGAAGAGCACAATGATGGTGCCAACTTGGGCCAGTGAAGCAACGTCCTCCACAACTAGACTGAAGAACAAAAGGATAGCAACTTGTCTGTTCCCCTTCCCCCAATACCCCAGCGCTGTTCCCATCCCCCCCAATTCCCCAATAAAAATCTTTAAAACAAACAAACAAACAAACAAAAAAACCTACATGGTACAGCCTACTATTAAAAAAAAAAGAAAGAAAGACAGACATGCAGGAAGAGAGTACTCCTTACAGCTATCTGGAGAAAAGAGCATTTTAAACAGAAATTAATCAAGTTGACAGGCCCTGAGGAAGAGCCTGCCAAGTGTACTCAGCATGCAGTCAGTAAGCCACGATTATGCACATCACATTCCTCATGTCCGCTGCTGGCTTAGCCTGTCACCTGTATTTAACCATGGACTCCATAAAACCTCCTGGAAGAAACTCTGGTAACGTGCTACTAAAAAGACTTCTCCAATCTTGTCTCCTACTTAGAAACATCTTTCCCTAAACTTATCACAATCAGATTCACTTTTCCTCAAATAAGTGTTTCATATGAATTATTTTTAAACCCAAATTTGTATGTATCTATGTCTTAACACCTTAACTATAGCCTGAGATGCTGGATTATATTAATGGCTCTACTCTTTTCTTTGAATGGCTAACAGTAAATATTTTTTAAATATCGGGGGCAAAAGCAAGGAGGGAAAAAGGAGAAGAGGACAGTTTAAATTATAAAGACGAAAAAGACAACAACCAAATCCAAAGTTCAAACCTTCACTGGATTCTGGCATTTAAAAAAATGCTATAGAAGGTATTTGGGAAATAACTGGGGAAATATGGACTGAATATTACAAAATATTAGGGCATTATGGCTAATTGTTTAAGGTATGAAATTGGTTATTTTGGTTATGTAGCAGGGTGCCATTATTTTTAGAAAATGCATACTTAATTTTTTAGGAGTGTTAGGAGTGAAGTGTCACAGTGTTTCAGCACACGTAATACGCATGCACAGGGATACAGACACACCAAAAACTAAATGTGGTAAAATATTAATTATTGAATCTATGTGGTAGGCATATAAAAAAGATCACTGTACTCTTCTTTCAATGTTTTTAATGTTTGAAAATGTTGGTAAGGTAATTGAAAACAACTAATAATAAATCCTTCCACAATAATAATTAATACATTATTTAGTAAGTACCTCATAGGTAATCAAAACTGCAGACAGTAAGAATAAAACATGGACCTTCCCTTCACCAGGTTCATAATATAGACTCCAGATATCAAAAAGGATTTACTGAGGACTTCTGAATTTCTGTGGAAAATGTTAAGTAGCATGGACAATCAAGAGATTAATAAAAGAGGAAGTAACAGGTTTAAATAAGTAGGACCTGAATAAAGAGCATCTCATAATCAAAGGCCAAGATTCAAAGAATTTTATAGAGAGAAGGAAAAACATTCACATTTATGTCACATAGTTAATGTGTCCTTTCTTGATTGAAATTTATCTTTTTTAAAGGCTTGACTGACCATATCACAAGGACCATGAGAAAAGAAATAATCCAGATATAATATGAAACTGTTCTGAAATGATCTCTGAACCTGAAAATAATGAGCTGAAATCTCTAATTTGAGTAGGAATATTAATGGTTTCACTGTCGGACACAATGAGAATGAAGTCAGTCAGGCAGCTGTTTATCCTATAAACAGGTAAAATTATGGCGGGCAAGACAAAAAGGCTGGAGGTGCCAAAATAAAAATTGGTATTATAAAAAGAGTTACTTCTAGTTTCAGAATGAATAAGTCCTTTCCGGGAACTCATTTATAAAAGGAAAGAGGAAAGGCAGAATGCAGTGTTCGAGGAGCCACCTCTAGCAAGAGGATAGAGAGAAGAAAACATAAATAAAAGCAAAAGATGAGGAAACACTTAGAAAGATAAAGCAACATCTCAGGTCATCAAAAACACCAATCAAGCAGAAGTGGGAGAGAATTCCTAGAGGGAGGACTCAAACATAACATACTTTCTTTTAAAATGGTAAAATAAAGACATCTCTGCCCATTTTTCATATGTGTGAAGGAAAAAGAGAAACAGAAAAAAAAAACACAAAAAAAAACTGCATTGTTGGTAACAGTAGGAATTAGTTATAATTCTAATGTTTTATAAAAAAGGATGTGAGTGGGCAGCTGCCATTGTTATTTTTAGGAAGAGCTCTCATGCACAATGCTCTCCAAAAACATAAGACACAGCATCAAGGGCCAAACCACCACCTCGTTTGTCATAACAGAATCCAGGAATGTTGGCTGAATACAGGACACATATTAGGCCCACTGGCATCCCTGAATGGTAGGAAAAGTAAGACAGGCTAGGGAAATGCAGATACCATCATTTTATAAAAGCAGCTTGTTAGTATATCAGAACAGAAAAGGTCACAACTTTTCTCTCCCTAAATTCCTGACTTGTATATACAACTGCCTACCTGAATATGCTTAGATGATCAGTAGACATGTCACAATTAACAAGTCCAAAAGAAAACTCAACCTCCAAAATTCTTGAAGTTTTCCTCTCTCAATAAATGTTAACTCATTCTCTTTTTAGTAAAAATCTTGCAGTCATCAATAACTCTTCTTTCTCTCATAACAATCTATGAGCCAATCCTGTCAGCTATGCCTTTAACATATTTTAAGACTACTTGTCACTATCTCAACTACTACCATTCTCTTACCTAGGTTACTGCATTCACCTAGGATTAATCGCCTAGCCTTGCCCCACCCCCATACCTTATTTTCTATACAGCAGCCAAAATGTAATTCTGATCTTATCACTCTTTTGCTCAAAACCCTTTCATGGTCTCCCAAATCTCTCAGAACAAAGGCCAAAGACTATTATTTGGTCAATTATCGAACCAAATCTATTCTTACTCCCTTTTGTGCTCACTCTGCTCAGCTCATTGCCATGATCATTTTCTTCAACAGCAGGCTCAGCCTCAGGGCTTTTAACACTTTTTGTTCCTTTTGGCTGAAAGCTCTTCCACCAAATTCTGCATGCCACGCCCTCACACTCTTTGTATCTTTTTTCAAATGTCATCTTAATGACAACTTTCCCAACCAACTGGCCCACCAAATGCCAGTTTTCCTTGCTTTATTTTTCTTCTTAGCACTCACTACCATCTGATAGAATATATGTTTTACTTATTTATTCATAGCTTGTCTTCCCCAATTGGAATATAGGCCTCAGGAGGGAGGAATTTTTGACTGCTTTGATTGATCACTAACATTTCCCTAATACCTGAAATAGTGCCTCATACATATCATTCAATAAATACTTGTTGAATATATGACTATACCATTTTGGTAGAAATGTAAATTGATTTACTTCTTTTGAGAAAAATGTGCTTATTTCTAGCAAATCTATATATAAACATAACTTTTACCCAGCATTTCCACTCAGAGTAATTATGTACTTGTATCTGCATAGCTCTGGCAAAGCAATATAAACAAGTACGTATATGCACTTGTGCCTTCAATAGCATGAGCCTGGAAACAACCTAAATGGCCATAAATAGGAGACAGGTTAAACAAGCTACATTGACAGAGAATCTCTTCAAGAAAAAAAAACTATATACACAATAGAATACATACCATCAATCAGATGAAAAGGAAAACAAAGGACTTTATATATATTCATATTTGCAGCAGATACATAATATATGCTGGCTTATTCATACACTACCTCAAGAAGGATACATGTGAAACTCTCAAGAGTGACTGCATCTTTGAAAAAATGTACGACTGAAGCTCAGAGAGGTAAGAAGGGCCTTTTTCATTTTTTACTTTAATATTCAAAATTTTTACAAGTTCATGTATTATATTAAAAAACATACAGAGGCCGGCCGAATGGCTCAGTTGGTTAAGAGCTCGTTCAAGAGTGCGAACTCTGAGCAATAGCAGTTCAAGTCCTGGCCCAACCTGAGCTGCCGCTGAGCTGCCAACAGGCGGCAGGATGGCTCAGCTAAAAAAAATAAAATAAAATAAAAAAACTAAAAACATAGACTCATACATTCGAGCGTCAGCGCGAGCGCGCACATATACAAACAAACACACACACACACACACACACACACACACACACACACACACACACACACAAAAGAACTGATTTCTAAGGCAACAACTGAAAGAGGTGTATGAGGCGGAAGACAGGGAGGGAGAGTTTGTTGGTATATAATGGGGAAGGTAAGAAGACAACAGGAAGTATGACCACAGATGTAAAACATAATTCTGAGGCATTTAACCACGGGAACAATAATAAAGTGGTAAGCAATAAAAAGAAACCTAAATGTCAGACACTATGTAAAGGCTTAAAAACCTATAAAAGACGATGCATGAGGAAAGGAGTCTATGCACATTGGGGGATATGAGACTGAGGATATCAATGAAAGAGAGAATAATAACACAAAGGCAGTACAAATAAAGTATTAGTGTGAGCATCCAGATTAGAGATAAAAGGGGCACCTTGACCTCTAGAATCTAAGGAGTACTGAAACAGAAAAAATGATGTCTGGAAATGTCATTCAAATATCTAAGAATTCATACCAAATGACACTCCAAGACTAGAGCCTATAAGAAAACACCCTTAAAAGCATTTCAAAGGTGTCAATACTGACTGATCAACTGTGACTTGTCTGGTTGTCATTCACTCACCTGCACAAATTTCCTTTCCATTTCTTTCTTCCCCATCCAGTTTATCTTCTTGCTCCAAAAGAGGATCACATAAAGTTTAATCAGTTTATAACCTGCTACTGGGGAAATGACACACCACTAGAAGGTTAATGCTGGAGCCAAAGTACCCTCCTAGAACTCAGGCTGAGCCTTGGGAGTCTCAGGAACTTCTGAAGGATGAAGAAAATGCCGTTTCCAGGGATGCACAAAGAAGCAGCCCTGTGAAAAAGAAAAAAACAATGACCCTTTGCCTTAAAGATTAAAGTACAATTATATGAGCAAAGGGACTAAGACTATTTGAATCCTGAATTTCAAAGCCATGCTCATTAAACCATTTAAACCTCAACATATCCTGAAATGGGGTAAGAAAGGGAATTCTACTTACATAGAAACATGTTGACACTTTACCTGTTGCTAGTTGTTATCTAGCACCACACTCCTGCATGAGCTCCTGAGTGGGTTTTAACTGTGGCCCTTATTCCTGGATGAATTCAACACTCATATCTACGACTATAACAATATATGCCTATCAGAACTATCAGCACAATGGATACAATGTGTAGGAAGTTGTTCTGACAGTACTGAAGAAAAACCCAAAAGACTTCCTGGAATCCTAATATTTACTTTGTTTGCATTATACTCTGAGTAAAACTATGTGTTAGAAATGTCCTGTAAAAATATATTCATCTATTCATTCAAAGAACATTTTTTAAATACAGTATTAGGACAACTGACAAAATCTGAATATGGACTGGATTAAATAATAGCAATTTTCTGAGTTTGATTACTGTACTGTGGTTGTAAAAAAAACCAAATGTAAATGATTGGTGAATTTGGGTAAAGGGTATATGGGACTTCTCTGTACTATTCTAACTTTCCTATAATGTTGAAATCATATTTAAAAAGCAAAATTCTAAAAAAACAAAGTTACTATTTACATACACACTATCTACACTATGTTCGCTGAAAAAGCTTAGTCACCAGTTTGTACTGGGATGTGGCAGAGATGGGAGACTTAGAGCCTGATTTAAACAGTAATGTACAGAACAGAGAGAAATGAGAGGGTGAGTTAGCTGAAGATAATCCGCAAGAGGAAGGGGCTCAAGCTTGACACTCTGGACACTGTCATGTTTCTGAGGAACATACAAGTGCATATATCCATTAGGCAATTTCATACGGAGATGAGGAGCTCTGAATAGGCCTAGAATCGAAATAGAAATGCATCAGTTGTCAGAATATCACTGCTGCTAAAGACACAGATGGAATGTTACTGTGACTGCTTACAGAGAATACACACAGTATGTGAAGAAGATGGCCAAGGACAGACAGTCTCTTAGAAACACCAACAATCAAGGAGGCAAAAAAGTTTCACAGGAGCATTGTGGCTGCTTAGCTTTGATTCTTTCAAATGTTTCTCCTTTTTAAAAACCATACAAAACATCAAGAATAAAGGGGGAATAATACCAACCAGCCAATTCATTCACTGCCTCTTTAGTGAAACTACTAGACAGAACCATGTTAATGCTAAATTATATGTAGGCGTGGCCCAAAACACCCAAAATAACAGAGGTGGTACAGGAACCACAATAGTGTGGTAGATGTAACAAGAAAGACTAGATAATAGTGAAAAAGAAGGCCATGACATACAAATCTCAGAAATAACTAGCAAATGTTTATTCTAAAAATGAGGGATTTATCCTGAGTGAGAACTGTAACCAAGTCTAATAATGAACAACAAAACTAGGGACAAGAAACCCCTCCTAAACTCCATGTACCTCTACCAAAGGCAGGCCCAAACAGGAGGCCTAAATAGGGATTGCAAAGAAGCCAGGAAAATACAGGAAATGCTGAGAACTTCAAAGTTCAAAGATCTGCAGGTAATTTATCTCCTTACAGAATGAATCAGCCTCACCTTAAGAGGAAATTGATAGAGGCAAACACTATTGTAGGTTAAACAGAAAAGGACTGAAGGAGTAAGCAGAAAGAGTAGGCTTCTGCAACTTTAAGTGGAACGATGCATAACAAAACCAATTTTAGCACAGGCTAATCGATATAAACAAGAGTTCAGTTCCTGTGGCACCTCATCAACATAAAAAAAACAAAAGGACATGGAAGAAACGAAAGTATTCCAGGACCTGCTGTACTTGGGGAGTGGGGTGTCCCCAGCATTTAGCAACTTCTAAAAGTGAATACATCATCTTAAAAGGCAAGTACTATGAAGAATTATGGGAAACAAAGAGATGGTGATAGAAGTCTGTCTCAACCAGGTTCAGGTCAAGCCAGAGAAGGCACAAAAGTCTCTTGCTTTAAAAAGTAGAAGAGCATGTGAGCTTTGAAGCATAGAATGCTACCATGCCCTCCTTTTCCTAGTACTTATCTAGGAAAATCTATGTCATAAAAGCAAGAGTAACACAAAATAATTTGTCTGTGTCCCTACAATGATACTGTAAGAAACAGTGAAAATGAACAACATAATTTTCCAACAGTTAAACTCATCTGAAAAATACTGCCACAAAGCAGATAAAAAATTGAAACATAGTATCAACAAAACAAGTATTTAAAAGACACAAAAACTTTAAGAAACATGCAAAGCTATAAAAAGAACACAAAAGATAAACCTAAGAACTGAGTAAAGAAAAAGGAGGGAAAGGAAAGAAAACAATAGGAATTGACACCTTACTGAGCACCTTACTTTTGTTCTGTTTGATTTTTTTGTTTGTTTGTTTTAAGGCTGCAGTATCAGAGTTTGGAGGGATTTTTGGGGTTTTTTTTTATTAACATGATCTTTCCTGGTTGTTGCATCTGAGGCACAACAGTGGCCTCAGCCTTAAATTTTTTGTTTCTACTCACATCCCCAGAGACCTAACCAACATGAGTAATCTATATCTATATAGGTAATCATAATCTATATCTGACCACAAAAGCAAGCATCTTATCTAATGCAAAAACATTGGAGACATTTCTATTAAATTCTAAATAAAGATAAGATGCCCACTGGCTCAATTATAATATAATTATAAACTACTGTTCATTAAGTTAAGCAAAAAATAAAACTAATTCATAGAAAACAAGCTTTATATATACCATAATATACCTTTATATATCCATTCATAACAGCAATATAAAAGATTGTACCTAGAAACAAACTTAGTAAAATGTGTCTACAACATATATGCAGAAAATTTTAATCTACAACATATATAAAGAAAGTTTTAAAACACTCCAGAGGACCCAAAAGGAAACTCTACATTATCATGTACATGGATAGGAGTATTTAACATCATAAATATCTAATGTCCCTTTCCCTTAAGTTAAAATTTAATGCAACATCAATAAAAATAAGGTTTTTCCCCCCCTAGAACTAGACAAGCTGATTCTAAGGTTTACATAGAAAAACAAACAAGCAAGCAAACCTAGGAAACTCTGCAAAGGACAAGCAATAAGAGACTAGCTATAACAGATAATAAAACAAATTATAAAGCCTCAGTGTTGCCTTACAGCCGATTCCAATTCCACCCCCCTACATTAGCCTCTAACTCTATTAGTTATGAAGGAGTGTCTCCGTATGACTGAGGCACGGAAGCTCTCTCTGAGGGAGTGTCTGGGTATGACCGAGGCCGGTAAAGCTCTCTGGGGGGTGTCTCAGGTGTGACTGGGACCTATTGTAATGATAATAGTTATCTCCCCTGGGAGGACACAGTAACAAGGTGTCCTGGGGCTATGTGGCGGATGTGTGAAGGCATAGCATTTGTTGGAACACAATGGGATATGTTAATGGAAAAAGGCCTTAAGGCACACAAATCTTATACGGATGCTAATTGACAGCAGTTTTACTTCCTTGAAAATTCTCAATAAAAGCCAGGCGCTGACCCGATTCGGGGCTGTCTTCTGGTTGAGTCCCTTGGTCTCGCTTTTATCTTTTGTCTCTTGTTCTTATTCAATCTGCCTCGCCCCTCTCGAGACCCATTTGCCCTTGCCACGCAGGACGTGACACCTCAGTAATAAAGGTAAATATTGATACACAAATACAGACTAGAAGATGGAGAATATAAAGTCCAGAAATAGACCAAATACATATGAGAATTTAGTATATGATCAAAATGAAATCTCAAAATAGTAAAGCTAAGACCTCTTAATAAATGGCATTGGGATTAACTGGGTAGCCAACTGGAAAAAGATAAATCTGAACACACATTCTATACCATATAAGATAAACTCTAAACAGATTAAAAATATAAATACGATAATGAAACCTATAAAAAGTATAGCCTTGTAAAGATTTGAAAGTAGAGGTAAAATCTGGAGTAAGGAGGACTTTCTATGACCATAAATGGAAAAAAATGATAAATCTAAATTTAAATACATAAAAATAAAGCTTGATTCTGTACTGTTTAAAAAGAAAACAAACACAAAAGACCACTATGAACAATGTCAAAACAAATTTAAAACTTGGAAAAAAACCTTGGCAACTCATTTCACATATGGCTAAACTTTCTAATGCAATATAAGAGGTCCTAGAAGAAAAAGGCACCCCCATAGAAAAATGGGGAACAGGATATGAACAGACAGATCCCAGGTAAACACATGGGCCCTTAAACATAGAGAAGATACTCAACCTCACTCATAATGAGATGTAAATTAAACCTACACTCAGATACCAATTTTCACTTATGCCTTTGCAAAAAATCAACTATTCAACACTCTGATGGTAAGGTTCTAGGAGAAAGATTTCTTGTACTTTGCTAGTGGGAGTATTAAGTACTTAGCTATATAGTCAACTCCACTTATAGCAATCTACTTTAGAGATAGATACTCCTGCATAAGTACAAAATGACACAGATAAAAAATTATTCATTACTGCAGTTAGTAACAGCAAAAGATTGGAAACAACCCAAATGTCCAACAACAAAAATGTGCAACAACTGAATTGACTATATATAGTACATGCACAGAATATCATCTTATTTATTCAGCAGTTAAAAAGAAAAAGTAAGATAATGATTAAGAAAGGAGATCTCCAGGACATATTACTAAGTAAAGAAAGTGAGCAATTTATGTAAGGGGAGTGGGAATAGGAAGGAAGAATAAATACACACTAGTGGCCCAAGAAACAAAAAATCCACTTGATAAACAAAAAACAAATAAGAAAATATACTTAATTGAGACAAAGAATGTGATGGGGGAGGGAAGCTGAATGAGACGAGCTTTATGAAATCTATTTTTTGTTGAATCAGAAATGCATCACTTATTTTCTAAATTAATCAAATAATTTATAAAGCAGTCATTGAACTTGACAACAAATTGAAACAAACAAACCCAACTGTACATTAACTTGGTAACAAAATTCCTAAAAAGGATTTATCTCAAATGACTTTAGAACAGAGAAATTTGCGGCCTGCTGAGTGGCGTGTTGGTTGAGTTGGCTTGGATTGCCAGCTCTGAGCAGCAGCCCCTCACCCCCACCCCGTTCGGATCCCACATGGGCCAGTGACGTTGCGCCCTCTATAGTTAAGATGAACAACACCTCAACCTGGAGCTGGGCTACCGTGAGTCGCCTGTGAAGGCGTAGGCTGCAGCCCCTGCTGCAGTGGGCTGCCATATAAGCTGCCGTGAGCAGCCATTCAGAGGCCAGCGACCGATCTGCCTCACCCAGGAAAGAAAATTTTCACAATAGTGTTTATGGTTACTATTAATGTCAGTCTTGTTATTTTGAAACCATTTTCTTTATAGGATAGGCCAAAGCAATTAAGTACCTATGTTAATTTGTTTAGAAGTTTTTACTGTAAAACACAACTAGGAGCTGTCAGGTAAAAATACTGTAGCATTTGGGCCGGCCGAGTGGCTCAGTTGGTTAAGAGCTCACTCAACAGTGTGAGCTCTGAAAACAAGGTTGCCGGTTCGATTCCCAGCCTGAGCTGAGAGGCTGCTGAGCTGCCAACAGGTGGCAGGATGGCTCAGCTAAAAACAAACAAACAAACAAAAAAAACTGTAGCATTTATATTGAATTAGAAATGATAATATAAACTCAAGGTTTTTAAAAATAAGGTTTTCTAGCTCTGTCACTGGAATGGCCTTAAAACAGTTACCCCTGCAGCAATGAAAACATCCAGCACCCGAATCTTGGTCTATAACACCATTCTCCAATAAAAGGAACCAGAGCTCCTTGGAGACATGACCATTTCCAAGTCTGGGAGGGAAGATACAAGGTGGATCTACAATGCAAGCAAGCTCTCCAAGTTAAATGGTGGCATGTCAAAATGAGACAGGGGTCGGCCTGAAGGAGCATCCCTGAGCTAAAGCTGTGATAATGAGTGTTGCAAAGAAAACTAGTTGTAGTTATTAGAACATAACTTTAAAAGGATGCTTCAAGTAGAAAACTCCAAGAAAACATTGACACAATCTGAGGTAGCAATGAAATAAATGTAAAAGGAATGAAAAAACTAGAAAATAACTTCACAACAACCCCTGAAGAAATTATCAACTCAGCCAAGAATTATTTATTGGTGTTAAAACCATCCATTACATGACTGATGGGGAATGGACATTTGTATGGTACCAAACTAAAATCATACACGTTACACTTTGCTCATAAAGGGAAAAATAGGCATTAATGGTAAACCAGTCATATACTATTCTCTCCTGACATGCAATTTGAAGATCATTTCTTATGTATTCTAGCCCAAAATAAAAAGTCACAATTGAGATTTTTAAAAAATATCTTCAGAGATTCTGAATTAGAACCATGAGAAAGTAACCATCATAAAAATCAAAGAACCGACTTCACGAAGGTAGTGGTGATGAGTTTCTAAGATGAATGTAACTTGAACACAGAATGCTTTCTCATTCCAGTTATAAAAAAGAAATGTCCTCCCCCCGCAAAAAGTTTTCAAATGGAAATAAGAAAAAAGCATCTACACATCGAATCTTCCAGAAATTTCTACCAGAAACAGTACAAATGGCTATACTATTCTGAGGAAATATTATTTTGCAGATAATAACAATGTTATTTAACATTTATCCAGTACTTAGTACATACCAGGCACTATTCTTTAGAACTTAGAACTCCATGATCTGCAGAGCCACCGTATGAATCAAATACTATTATTTTCTCTATATTGATAAGAAACTGAGGCACAAGGTTTAAGGTCACCGACACACAAAGTGGCAGAGGAAAGAGTTAACAGAGGCAGTCTGGCTCTATGGTCTATTTCCTCCTTTAAAAAACAAAACAAAACAAAACAAAACAGGGCTGGTCGAGTGGCGTGTTTGTTAAGAGTTGGCTTGGG